AGAAGATGATTGGATTTTTAATTATGAACATCTTGAACAAGCAAAATCAAATGATGAAGTAGAAATTTTAGATGATATTAATAAAAATGATAGAAGTAATAATATTAATGATAATCATTATAAGAAAGGAGATTATGATAATGAATGGATTTAAATAATAATCATGTATACTTAATAAATAATGATATTTAATATTAATAAAGTATAAAATATAATAATAAATTTTGATTTTTATGTTTAATATATTACAATCAATCAAATTGATTGACATCATTATGATAAATTTGATCAGCATCGTTGTGGTAAATTTGATCGATATATTTATCAATTTAATTGGTTAATTTATTAGTACTCCGATATTAATCAAAAATTTTATTTTTGGTGATTGAATAGTATCCGTTACTATTCAAGAGGGATATTTTGCAAAAAGGATACTAATGTCAGTGTTATACGATAATATACAGATTTTTCACTTTCTTTAGATTTCAAGATTACAAAATTAGTATTTAGTATTATTAATTTTTAGATAGTTTCTTTTACTTCAGTTTTAGTATTTGCACTTGCTTGAAATTCTTCTATATATTTATAATTCTATTAAATATTATATAAATTTTTGCGAAACTTATAAATAGTAAACTCAATTAATTATTATATAAAATTATAAAACTTGCAAAATATTTCACAATTTTATATTTTTGAAACTTTTTAGTAAAATGTTTAAATTATATTTAATTTTATTAATTATCTAAATCTATAGATTTAAACAAATAACCTTACTAATATACTATTAAATATTTTTCATTTTCTCATCCTAACATTAGTTTTGCTAACTAAAAGTAATTTTATATTTAAATTAGTTTGTAAATCTTACATAATTTATATATGTGATTAATATATTACAATTTATTAATACTCCTATAATAAAGCATTTTAAAAATCATTAATCTGATATAAGTATATACAAGTTAAAAAAATAAATAATAAGTATATATATTGATTTTATTTGTAATATGATCAGTATATATATTTAGATATCATTTAAGTATACAATTTTTTATAGGATTAAAGCAGGATATTTTAGAGGATTACCTTTATTTAAACATTTTAAACTAGATCATATCTTCATAAATTATTTTTTTTTAGATATTTAGTCACGAACTTGTTTAGTTTCAATATTAAATTTAGTTGCTATTTCATTTTTACTATGTTTCTTTTTATGATATATAACGACAGCAAGTTTTCTTTTACATTCTATACTCTTTATACCTTTTCTAATATTCTTACACAATTGGTATTTTATTTGTTGTAAACCCATATTACTTTATAATAAAGTAGTAAAAAAATGACAAATTTATTGTTATGGTTATAAGGATAAAAAAAACCAAAAAAGTTTAAAGTCAAAAAAAAAGATGAGTTAAAATAAATAAAACTCTGATTACATTATTTGTGAAATGTTATTCATATTTTCAAGAAAATGTTAAAAATCAAAAATCAAAAATTCAAAAGTAAAAAAAGATGATTAATGATTATGATTAATATCCTCCATTTATTGTATTCCCTTTGTGTATATAGTACCTTTCTCCAAAAGTAGTACCCCCAGGTACTATTCAAAATTAAGCTTGGGTTTGCTTGAATAGTACCCGGTACTAATGTCAGCATATACCAATCATGTTTTGTTTATCTCGTGATAGATACGCCACACGCCACATTTTTTGAAGGAAGTCAATTAACAGACAGTGTCACATTTAAAACTGAATCTTATCCACACTCAACATACGAAAAATAATAGATAAATTTTTTCAAGAAAAAATAGACAATGATATATATACTCGCAAAGCAATATTATATTATTATATTTTTATTTTCCTAAGATCATCATCTTTTAAAATATTTGAATCAGTTTTGTTACTCCACGAAATCCTTATGTAAAAGAAGAGATTCATCAGTTTCAGTGATTTGACTAATATTTAAATAAATAAATAAAAAGGGAATTGTTAAACGTTAATAATGAACATACAAATATAACTTATACTAATTGTTAAGCATTTTCAACATACCAAATTTCCAGAAATCTCCACCTTGTAACGATCACCACTAGGGTAAACGACTGCCAATCCAAATTCATTAATTGATTTATTTCTTAATTCCTCAGGAAAAAAAGAACTACATGCAACACCAATAAGTTTATTTCCTATCAGTTTCTTGAATTCTAAAGTATCAGTTTCTTTAATTTTTTCTGGAAATTCATTTAATCGATCAACAATCTTCTTTATATGGTCCTAGGAAATTCAGATTTATCAGTAAGCCAGACTGTTGATAAATTCATAAAAGTATAATAATTCTTTTATACTTACTTCCGTCATCTTGTGTTTACACTCAAGTAAGAATGTCATGTTTTTGCAAGTAAGAACTCCGTCCCATTCCATAATTGTCTGTTTATTTTTATACATTATTCGAGGAAATATTTCTACAGATGAATTAAATTTATTCGCAAGAAAGCTCTTTAATAGAGTTTCGTTCTCGATTACCGTGTCTTCAACTTTTGTCCAGAAAACTCCCTTTTTGATTGCAGTGAGATGCATTGCATTTATTTCATAGTAACGGTTAGGAATTACACGTTCTAAGGATGTAATAATATTTGGATTGTCGCTGATATCATCGATTAGTTCTAATCCATTTGCTTCGTTCCTCCTCAAAAAGTTAAAAAATTCATCGTGATTATCCATTGTATATGTCCCAAACTTTCCCAGTAATGGTTCGCCTTCATTATTGTATATTTGAACATAAAAAGTCTTCGTATTTCCTAACATTACAAGAAAATGAAGGTACAGTATAATTTTGGAACAAAAAACGCGGACGTATAAAGAATAGGTGTGTCACTTTAATGTAGACTAATTATTACGACATAGAGCTTACCTTTACGTTCATCTAAATTAGAAAAAGTCACAAAAGTGTATGATATTATTAAATATGACAGATGAAATAAAAGATATCAAAAAGTTAGTTTAAGGCTTACCTTTACGTTCACCTAAATTGGAAAAGTCACAAACAGTGTACTGATATTATTAAATATGACAGATGAAATAAAAGATATCAAAAAGTTAGTTTACTTTACCTGCTTTAAGAACAGCGAGCGCAGTAAGTGCGATGAGTGTGAAGCCAAACAACCGAGGATTAATTGTAAGAGAAGCTGGTTCAGTCATAATCAGAAACAAAGAAAGAAAGGTTTTTAAGTAAAAGTAAAATGAAAGCAAGAGAAATGAAGGAACAGTAGGCTTGTAAAAGTAAAATGAAAACTCACCTTTTTATACCCAAACTCATAAAACAAACTTTAAAAGTTTGATGAGTCGGAATAAGCTCAAATGATATACTAAATGAAAAAACGCGCTAGTTATGGTTCTAATTTTTCGGTCGTACGACTGACCGTATTTGATTTTATGCAACACAGAAAAATAAAGCGCATTAACTTTGTGCGATGTAAGTATATTCTTAGACTCTTACTTTATTATTTCTCCAAAATTCATTAAATAATTTATTATCCGGAGGACTTTCAGTACAAGTCAATAGGATCGAAATGTCCGTCTGTCCGGCTTTCTTAATGCATTAATTAATAATTATATTTTAAAGTTCCTTAACTCCGGACACACAACAGTTCCAGTTAGCCTAGTTTTCTATACGTCAAAGAATAATTCACTATATACTATGTATCTGCTATCTGAAAAGCTCAAGGTTTTTTACAGTCATATTAATAATGTCATGACTAAAAATCACTAAAAATCAAAGTCAATTGCAAAGGTAAAAAGCACAGAGATAAAACCCGAAAAGAGATGAATGAGTCTGCCGGTTGAATAAATCAATTAGGAGTTCTATTAAGGTTTAGGGTTGGGCTATTCTCAGTAGTTACTTGTCTACATTTTCCACGCGTGTTTGCGACATGTAATTCCCAGATGAGCATTTCCGTTTCAATTAATTTCCTCTGCAATTGAGTAGTTAATAATTATAATTGTAGGACAAAAGCAAGATATACATATCTCCAATTCTTTCAAGAAGCAAAAGGCACCTTCAAATAAGGCACAATTTTCATTATTTGATGGAAGATGACAATTTTCTATCAATCCAAAGTGATACATCCCAGTCAGTGTTGGCCAACTGGACCAAATTGGACTAACTGGAAATATAAAACTGGACCATTAGACTTATAATTCCAGTAACTGGTCTTATAAAGGTGGCCAACACAGAGTCCAAAATAGAGATAAGTCAAATCCTATATTGAATGAGATAAATCAGTCATATAGCAAAATTCAGACAAATGGTCTACATTAAATATCTGTCCACCTGCAAGCATCCAGCTATATACAATTAGCTTTTTTCTCTGCTTGTCATTTAAATATTTCCATTATTTTAAAATACTATTTAACGAGTCTCGTATTAATACTGCAAGTTTGACTTTGTCTAAATATTTCTTTTTCTGTGATGCAAATGATACTCCAAGTGAACTTAACCTATTCGTAACCTTTCTGTACAAGACTTCAAATTTATTGAATGTTCTTATCAGGATGTCTTTCATATCAACTTTTCGTCTAATATGAGCTTTGACTAAAGGATTTGCTTTTTCATTTCTCATAACTTCGAACCAAATGTCTGAGTCTCTTCCCTACATGCACATAGACAAATTTTTTAGTATTATGTATTTTGCTGTAATCAATTTACAATGATATACCAATATCTTTTACTAATGAAAAGATCCATGAAAGTATTGAATAAAGAATATATGATAATAAATCTATGTTAATCTTTTGCCTTAGTTCCTTTTTAGACACATTATAGAATCTGATAATAGAAAAGACTCATTAGATATCAGAGCGATCGCTAAATACTAGATACTGATAAGTAAAACCTTACATAAATTGTATATTCGTATGTATTTTTTCAATCATTATATTATTTTTAAGTTTAGTGAATCACAATTAGAATCAAAATATTGCTGAAGATATTCTGGAGTTAATTGTAGAGACCAATGAATGTAATTAGCAAAATCTTATATGACTTTAATAATTTCATTTTGGAGAACTCTGTGCATTCATAGAAATTCTGCTATGTTAAATTAAAGATGCCTCAATAATCCAATCTATTAAATAACAAGCATAATTAAGAACAAGTAATTTTATTATATTGAAATCACAATAACGAAGCTTGTGTTATTAATCGACGTGTCTTAGAAATATTTTTCTGATATTTATTGAATTTCTCAGAGATACTTTGTAAAAGTATTTGATTTAAAGTCTATTAAGTATAGTTGAAATCAGCATGATGAGAATGTAATTACCAAGTTTTGACTGTATTAAAAAACTACATCAGGGATCGTTTCTGAAATTGGCAACACTATTTCTTAAATTCAATTCAGAATCATCTATAGAATCAACTAGAGAATGGTTTCAGAAACTATTGTTAAGTTCAGAATAATCTTAATTAAAAAAAATATTGCAAAAGCCAATCAGCATCGACTTAATTATTGAATAGGTGGATAACGAAATATCTCGTATAATATGTAGCTAATATATGAAAATTTTTTGCTTCACTCTAGACTAATAAAATTGTCCTCTTTTAATTCATCAAAGAGAACAAATTCTTTCATTGCATCCTCATTATCACTATTGTCTACTCTTCTTTTTTTCTACTCATGAAAAATTTTTTGGTTTGCTTATCTTTTGGGATTAACAACATTAAATTTCAACTATATGTATAAGTTTTTCATTTAATTATCAATAAATGGTAACGATCACAAACTTTGTTAAAATTCTTTTCCTGATGTTTCTTTAATAATGCTAAATATATATTCTCAAAGTTTTCTATTATATGCTGATTCTTCTCTCTTTCTAATTTATAATTTCATGAGCCTTTTACAAATAAGTCAAACAAATAGTTATTAGTACTTACAACCATAGTTTTCATAATATTTTTCACATATGTTCGAACGCTAAGAGATGCATATTTAGTTTTATTGATGATATATATAGACTCGTAAAATTGAGCTACGCATGTGGTCTAAATAGGAAGCTCAACATTATTATTACAAATCTAATTAATATAATATTCGAAGGTTCAAAATCTTGCTTATATAGCTTTAAAGCAGTATTAGACAATTGGACAATTTTAAACAATTTTGAATAGGTTTTGGACACTTTTTTTTATGTCTAAAACCTTGTCTAAAACTATTAAAAATCTAAAAATGTATCCAAAACTCATCACTGCTTTAAAATATGGATGAATTGCCAAATTTTCTATATAATTTTTAACATAATATGACCAGGGATCAGTTGGGATTTGTTAACTACAACAGAATTTTATATATTATAGAATTGATAGGAAAGAAAAATGTGACCGCGACAAACGTAAGGTATGACATAGGATGATAAATTAAATAAAATCATAAATCTATGACAGATTACGCTGATTAGGTAACAAATAAGGTAGTGACAAATATGCCAACACTAACCTAAAAAAAACTAGTTCTCTGAAATTATAATAAAATCAAAATGCTATTTCACATAATATGAACAACAAATAAACATCACGCCTTACTATTATAGTAATTATCAGCGTAAACTATTATAGATTCAAGAAATGTAAGATCATGTGGGGTAAAAAATTTAATAGTATAACTGGTGATGCATCTAAATCACCGCAGAAAATCATCATCCCTGCTGGGGATAAACTTTTGATAGAAGCGACTGTCACTTTGACATCAGGTAACTTGAAAAGTAAAAAATGACAAAAAATTTGCGACTGCTACTTTGACAGCGATCTTGTTTGTCTTATCTTTCATAGATTCTTGAGTATAAAAAGGCTAGTATATTTACGTCTACCACTTTGGCGATGACTCTTTAGCTTTTTCATTTATAACTGTTTATTTTATTATACAGATAAGTCTTTGATACTTTTTGCAAAGAAATTTTTTTGTCTATTTACATGTTTATTAATTTTTTATCCTACCTACAAAATTTTCGCATATTCATCATATAAAGTATCAAGAGAAATTTTTCTATAGAATAAATTCAGACCATTTCTCACTAGGTTTGAAAAAAGTAAGTTTTTCTTTTATTTTATTAATCATCTGCAATATTTGGATTTTTTTTTAATAAAACTCTTAATAATATCTTTTTTTTTATTTAGGCTTATTTTGCGATTATGACTGATGTTTTTATGAAGATTGTTAGAATACTTTTTGATTAATTTTTATGATTATGAGACTTATATACTTCAAACGATAAAAGATAACATCACCATCTTACTACTTGAAAATAAAAACTTTTATTTTTACATAATAAAAAACAGATACAAACAGAAACTAAAGAGTCACTGCCTAATGACCTCTGTTATAAATATACTAGCCTTTATATTACAAGATTGCACAGTAGTAACATAACTTACATCTCAATATCAAGTAAGATCACTATCAAATGATCATCGTAACTTAGCCTGAGCAAAATTAACAGGCTGATTATAAATTCAATTTGATTAGTTCTCGTCTCGTGATCAGAGATCATCTTAAATTCTAAATAGAAAATAAAAATAATTCTGACCTTCAAACAGCATAATGGAGTTTCTTAAATAATCATTAGTTACATAAATTATTTATATAGTAAATCTATATATAATTATAATATATCATATTATACTACATAAAAGACATGTTCATTTGTCATGAAATTTTATCAAGACATTTTTCTATTGCTATTCTATCCTAATATATATTATAATCTCTAGGATCTCTTAATTCCACCAAGTTTTACTAGGAAAAACTTTAGAAATACCTTCATATTATACAAAGTCAAAATATTAGTTTTATAGGATGGTAATTCTAAAAGTATAAACTTTATAAAATTGTTTTATCTAAATCTTTCTGATTATGTATTAGAATATTCTGATAATAAGTAGAGAATATAATGATGCTGATTAATGTTAATAAGAATAAGAAAGTAATAATTCCTATAGCTGAAAGTAATCTCTCTATTTAAATTTAGTAGTAATTTAGAGGTCTAAAAATTTTAGAATGTAAGTTTTGGAAATCTATAATTTAATGATTATTCTCAGACCAGTATTAATCAAATGAGTTCTGGTTAAAACTTAAATCTAATTATAATTTTAAAGGTTTATGATTAATATCAGAGGTAATCTAATAGAATATATATAATTATTAATAGATTCTTAGTATTCAAATATTGAAACTATAAAAAAAAAAATGTTAAAATAATTAAAAATAATTATAATTTTTAGTTTTAATTCTAATAAATTTAATTTCAGCTTCAAATTTAATTTCAGTTCTAATTTAAGATTCAATTTCAGATTTAACTTCAACTTTTTAATTTAAAATATTTTTAAATTAAAAAAAATATAGATATTATATTAAAATTATATTAAAAAAAATCTTAATTAATATAAAAAACAAAAAAATTATAATATATCGTATTTTATCGAAATTAAGCATTCCCTTTTTGCAATAATTTTGGGCGAAAAGTTTGGGGTGGTATTTAATTTTGATACTTTTTTTAAATGTGGTAAAAATTAACGTTGGGATGCAGATCCTGATATTTTTGAAATAAAAAAATTTTTTTTCTTCAACGATTTTATTACTGAAGGAACTTCTGAAAAATAGTCTAATCTTTTACCAGAGAGCAAAAAAGTGTTTAACACTAATTTTATATTGATTTTATTGCCAAGTTTTACGTTTTCAATGACATGTTGAACTTTTCTTTAGATTTAAAATTTTTGAGATGTTCATCAATTCATTATTTGAAATCTTGGAATATTTGTTGAATTGTCTTTCTAATTTTTTTATTATCATAAAAAAAATCCTTTTACTTTCTTCTTTCTTTAAATTTTTCTTCTTTCTCCTCTTACATAATACTTATAACCAGATAATAATGCCAAAAAATGAAAAAAAATTTTTTGACTATTTTTTTTCTTAGCTAAGCCATATACATGATCGGGTTTTAATTAAGGGAGGTTTTTTTCAATTACGCGTTAACGTGAACTTCAAATTTCATATAACCTTTCTGAAAACCTTTTTTTAAAAAATGTCAAAAATTATTAAATGTCAACGTACTTCATATTCTATTGAGCAAAAAAAAACTATTGTTACTTATGCTATTCAACATAGAAGAAATGCAGTAGGCAGACATTTTAAACTTGATTAAACTATAGTTGAGTGCTGGATTAAGGCAAGCAAAACTTAGACAAGTAAAATAAAAGATAAAGTATGCGAGTGGATTTTGGCTGAAAGGCTTTCTATCCTGAAGCTGAAGAGGAATTATATAATTGGGTTTTAGAGCAAAGAAAAAAGGGATTGGCTGTAACATTTGTAACTTTAAGAATTTCGATATTTGAAATTTTGGAAAGAGCAGAAATGATAGTTCTTTATAGTGATTTAACAACAGAGTTTAAAGCAACTACAGGTTGGTTAAATGCATTTATGAAGAGATATAATTTATCTAGGCATCAACGTACTAAAATATCACAAAAACTTCTTGAATAATTGAAGAAAGATTGGAAGAATTTTACTAATTTGTTATTCGTCTTAGAATCTGAAAATCTTTTGAATTATGTAATATATTTAATATGGATGAAACACCAGTCTGGTTTGACATAGCTGGAAATTTTACCATTAATACAAAAGGAGAAAAACTGTTCATATCTGTAGAACAGACAATAAAAACAACCAGTTCACTGTTATTTTGACATATGCTGTAGGTAAAATTCTTATAATTTAATGATTTAATATAATTTTCAATTTTTTAATTTTTTTTTTATTACAGATGGAATCAAATTACCACCAATTTGTATTTTTAAGGGAAAGCAAATGCCGCGTGGAGAAAAGGCTCCTTCTGGTATAATTGTATAGTTTCAAGAGAGTAGATGGATGAATGCTAACTTGATAAAACATTACATTGATTATCTTAATCATATGAGAAGTTCAAATAGCCAATCCAAATTTCCAGCTATGATGGTTTATGATTTTTAGAGAACATTTAGAAGAATAAATCAAAGAAAAATTTAATAAAAGCAATATTGATTTGGTAGTAATTCCTGGTGGTTTAACTAGCAAATGTCAACCACTTGATGTTGCTATTAATAAACCATTTAAGAATAATTTTTACAGAAATTTGTTTCCTTACTATACAGTAACTGCATAGTACCTATTAGGCTACGATTAAGTTACTACTAAGTAAGATAGTAACTATATATTTACTATATAGTCACTTTGCAGTTACTGCGTATTAAGAAAACCAAGTTTCTGTAAAGATCTTCACAAAGAATGACATTTTTGGATGTCTAATAGTGATGCTGGATATACAGAAGCAGGAAATCTTCAATGTGCAAAGATAAGTGATGTTTGTGGATGGGTAAAACGCGTATGGAAAAATATTTCTAATAATATCATTATTCGTTCCTTTAAAAAATATGGTATATCTAATGCTTTAGATAGATCTGAAGATGATGCTATTTATGAAGAAATAGATGAATTTCTTAAAGAAATTGAAAATGAAAAAGAGGAGGAGGAATTTGAAATTGTTAATATGAATGATGATTAGAAATTATTTTTTTACTATATTTTGTAATTCATGTTTTAATAAAGATTAATAAAGTATAAGGTGCTTATTTTCAATGGTGCTTATTTTCGATTTTTGCATAAAATTACACAAAACAAGGGGGTGCTTATTTTTGAGGGGTGCTTAATTTCGATAAAATACGGTATTAGATAAAAATTAATAGATAAGTAAAGTAAAAAATATTAAATTTGATTTAATTTTACTAAAAAATTTTAATATAAGATTTAATTGTCAATCTATAACTTAATAGTATAAAATTTATTAGTAAATTTTAATGCAGATACTTATATAAATACTACATATTAGGCATTCTTTAATTCTAATTTTGACACACATGATCAATGTATAAACATAACAATAATTTTACTAATTAGAGATAAAGCATATAAATAAGTTATAAAAAAATTTATCGTAATTATATTATTTAACAAATTTACCTTATGAGCAATTTTCATTCAACCTTATATTTTAATATATTATATATTTATTTTACAAGCTTTATTATAAATTTTATAATGTTTTTCTTTACAAAACTAAAAATATACAATATTTTTTCTCAAATTAACAAAATAATATGACTTTTTTTATTGTAAAACAGATGAATTTAGGTATAATTATTTTTTATTTGAAATGTAGTCTTTATATTTAGTCTTTTAATGCTATCACATACCTACTAATCCAATCCTGAATTGTAAAAGTTTTTGGTATATCTTATACTTATATTTCTTCTGATTCTACATATTTTAACAATTTATTATATATTTCTTGTGTATTGAGATTGTTTTATGCATTTATATTTCTATTCAAAAAATAAACTTTCACTTTTTGATCATTCTTTTTCCAGTTCCTTTTCTTTCAAAGGTTTAGCACCTATCCTTTGACAACTAAAAGTTTTTATTTATCACAATTGAGCTTATTAAAAAAACATTAGTTATTATTGCTAAAAGCAAATACTAGACACTAATATTCAATACTTACTTATGTTGTTAATTTAGATTTTTATTTGTAATAATTAAAAAAATTATATTAGTAGAGTAATAATTTTATTTAAAAAATATATTTATCAATATTTACGAGAATTGTTTTTAATATTATTTAACTGACTTGTATTATCTTTTATAGTGAAAAAATTACTCATTATTTACAAAACTAGCAAATAATAAGAACTACAGTTCCTGGCAAAAAAAATGGCAGAAAGTTTTTTTTGAATAATAAAAGTTTTTAATAAATAACTTTCAAAATTTTTTTTATTCTCAAATGCTTTTGATTAAGAAATTATACTTAGCTAAAAATCTTAATTTTTTATTATACTTTTGATACACTTTTGATATACTTTTAATATATTTTTGATACATTTTTAATATATATCATTAATCATTAAAATTATTTAGACTTATAATTTCATCTCAAAAAATTGAAATAGTTTTATAATAAATTTATAATAGTTTTATAATAGTTTTATAGTTGATTTTTAGTAGTTTTGTAATTGATTTATAATATAATTGTAATTATTTTTTTATTACATATATATTATACAGTTGTATAATAAAATTATGTACATAATACAAATTCATTTTATCATATTTTCCATTATGACAACCTGTTTTTTAACATTAATGTACAAAATGCACATTTGGTTGATGATCTACCTATCTAACTATATAAATTCGATGTCAAGTTTGATCTATTAATCTTTAAAGTCTATATTGTGAACATTCTAATTTTAAATCATAACATTCTAATGAAACAAACCAATTTAGTAATAAAAAAGAAATATATAAATGATTTTTTGTATAAATAAAAATTGCCTGAATTTGTGCATATGAAAATACTGTCTTTAGATTATTCAATATATTATTTGATATATCTTCTAAAACATTCACAGTATCACCAATACGAAGGTTCACATCTACTCAATCATCATTATCAACTATAGTATAGCTAATACTATTAAAATATTTTATGGTTTGTAATGTAAGATGTTTAATACAACCAAGTTCTTCTTTATATGTGTGTCTAAGTTCAGCAAATAAATCATCATTAAGAACTTTCTCAAAGCCAGCAGTTTGTAGGTTATTCTTATTATATACTTTTCAGACTCTTATATTGATAAAATTTTCATCTATACAGATTATATTATATATCTCTTTCTGTTTTGAATTTATTATTGATGGCAAAATGTACCATGAATCAAGCAATATACATACACATTAATCCTTTGACAATATGCTAAAATTAAAGTATTTTATCTTATTATATCTTTCGTCAATACCACTGTCTATTAGAAACTGTAATGCTTGCAAACAATTATCATAGTGCATAAAATCCAGTTCTATATTTTTTTTATTTGAATGAGGGATAATAACCTTGAAAAGTCTATGCACTATTTCCTTTATAGCAACTGAAATATTCACTAAAGTCGCAAAATTCTGTGCATGTATAATAAAATGACATAATATATAAAATTTAGAAATTGACTAATATTAAGAAAAACCTGAAAAAAGTCTAAAACATACTAACCAAACTATTAATATTAAATTTTTGATTATCTTTGTAACTAGTCTGGACCATAATATTATACTTTGTTATAATTAATATTAGAAAATTCTTTGTGAAATGTCAGAGACACTATTTGAGAGAAATAAACTTATAAACCTAACAATTTATCCAGAACCTGACTTTTCGTTATTATGCATGTCTCAATTATATATTCAACAAATGTTTTATTTAGCATTATGATATGTAATATCCAATTAATGAGAAATAACATAATCATACTTAGACGAAGATAATCAGAAAAAAAATATGAACTTAAATGAGTAATTGGATTTTTTGTCAAAACTAATATGGAGGAAATTCAAAATTGTACCAAACTTTTAAAAATTCAGTCTCTTCTTTTGAGAATAAGATTTCAAATGTTGATTGAAGTATTTCTTTGATAAAACTACCTATGCAATGAAAAGCATCGTGCGAATATTGAAGATGATGATTACGCATAATATTATTAAAGACAAGGGGGTTTTTCTCGTATATTATATTGTATAGCAAGTGAATCACGTTGTGCTTGAGTCTGAATGCTCCTTATAGTAGAAAATTGTAATATAGTTTTGTGATAGTAATGACTATGTCTCACAATAACAAAACTAATGTTATCCAATTCGCTATGATGAATTATACAGTTACGACATCTATAATGTGCATTGTGATTCTTTACTCCCGCCTGTTCATTATCTTCTGGTAAGTCACTAGTAATGACACCTAATCCACTAGTAACCCATACAGTTTGATTACTAATTTTTAATTCGTATTCACGTTTGAGATCCTAAATATCATTAATAAATGGTTGAAGTATTTCATTACTCGTTACTGCGAATAGGATAAACTAAGAAAAAAGTAATTTTAAGCTTTTGATGAAGCATTTGTTTCATATTACTGATTTGTAAGTAGAGGGCACTGATGGCATAATATGCAGTACAAAATAAACTAAATTTGTCAATATAAATATTAAGAAAAAATTTGAAATATCGGTAAATTATGCAGATAATTCTGAATTATAATATATTCAATAGGATGAAGGTATTATAAATCAATTGATCTCATGATCTACCGCGTATTTACATAATACACAATTTCAGATATAACATATTGATAGTTATTAGGCTTGTTAACATCAATTAACCAAATATCAACTTTAAACTTAATCTTTGCAAGATTTATGACAAGCGTTTCATCAGTCATTCACAGATATCCTTTATGAGAAGTAATTCTTCTTTGTTAAGATTTAAGCATAGAAATAATGAATTAAATTCAAGAATATGTTCAATCTTAATACATCTATCTGAAGATTTATCAACGCATAAGATCAATATAATTTGCTTATAACATGTTTGTTGGCTTATATCGTAATATGTGATAAAATTACTAAGACTATATATTACTATTTTCATATTAACGATATGATTAATAAATAAATTAGTATAATAATATATAGATTTTAAATTAAAAAAACAATATTATATTTACCTTCATTTAGTTTTATGCATACACTACTGAATAATGGGAATTTGTAATAGAGATCTCTATACTATATATAATTCATGTTTATTCTTATAGTACATATCTGAATTAAAGTACATATTCTTATGTAATAATAAATTTATTAATATACGATAAAGAATATCTTTTAAAGAAAAATTTAAAGCATTACAGGTAGGTTTAGAAGTAAAAGGTGTATTGCGATTGTTGAGGGTGACTTTGTAACCTTTAAATAGAAGAAGTAGTAAGCCATCACAATACTTTTTAATAATTGCAAGTGAATATAGAACATCATCTGAATTGAACTCAGAATGTTTGACAATATTTGCAAAGTCTTTATATGCTTTAAAGCCTATTTGATATTTTGTAATCCATAAAAATATTAGAAATGTAGTAAGATTTAGAAAATATGATTTGGTATTTCTAGTGTAATGATTATATTTCTTATTGCCATCATACTCTCTTCTAATAGACTCTTCATCAGTATCTTAGTTATCACTAAAACTGTCATTGTATGATTTATTATTTATGAAGAATTGATAATCATTTAAAGAGAAATCATTTGAATAGAAGTTATTTTGAGAGAAGTTATCATTTAGAGAGAGGTTGTTTGGAGAGAAGTCATCATATTCATTTGGAGAAAAATCATTTGAAGAGAAATCATCATTTAGGTGTATCTGTGATAACGAAGCTCTCTTTCTTTAAATATATGGTTCATAATATTGATTTTGGTATTTGTAAAAGAAGAGGTTATCACCTAAAACAATACTATTGAGTTTTAGATTTATAGAACTTTTTATACAAGTGTGTTTAAGTTTACAATCAGATTCTTGTTATTGTTTGTAATCGGCTCTGATCTACTTTAGATTCATATTAAGAAGAAAATTTAAAAATTTGAGAAAGAAGTTTAGCAAACTTATTTTTTTTCTTAATATTGTTGGCTATATTTGGCATTGATTATCATCCCTAAATTGAGCTTAAATTCAGTTTGACTAAATTGAGCTTATAAAATTAGCTTGTGCATTATAGGATGATCTACTAAGAATTGATGCTATATTACATAATTACATGTGATAAAAAATATATATATATATAATATATTTTTTAACTTTATTTTTTTTCTTATTTTTTTTTTCTTCTAATATATCTTATAAAAAAAATCCATCTCAAAACATCCTAAAATGAGGGTTACTAGATCTAAACTTGATTCTAAAACTGGTGAAAACTCTTCAACTATGTCTACAATAGTTTCAAAATTTAGTATAATCATTAAAGATGCTGATTTAGAAGATACAACTATCAAAGATATCAATTTGAAAGAAGTGTTTAAGCCAAAAATCATAAGCTCAGAAAAAAGAACAGGTATATTGTAATAGTGAGAATAATTCAACAACCTATATAATAAGAGAATTAATGAATAGTGATAATTTATAGCAAAAAAAGGATCTATGTGAACTTGACAATCTTAATAATGATATTTAAAATATGGGTTCTTTTGATTCTTTGATCTTGCTAAATAAATATGTAAAGCTAAATGATAGAAAAAGTATAATAACATTAGTTTATGTGGGTTTTGCAAATAATAATATAAATTAATATAACAAAACTTTATAGAATCCACTAAAGAACATGATCAGGAATTACTTTTATGTAAAACCTCTATATCTCAAATAAAGCTATTATTTGCCAATATTTATAAATTGAAATTGATTGATAACATCAATAATATTACAACACAATTAGTCTCTTCTACAGATGAACAAAACACAGCATTTACAGCATATAATATATCACGATCAGTCTCTTCTATAGATGAACAAAATATGGTATCTATAGTACACACTGCATTACGATCAGTCTTTTTTATGGATGAACAAAATACGACATTTACAACATCTATTGATTGCATTAATTTTAATAATTTAGCACCAATGTTTATTGCATTTGTTTAAGTGATGAAATCAGGCACACTTTTACTAAATACAGAATATATATTATATATGCATCTGTAATCTATTATAGCTTCTGACAATACAACTACTTCAGCTATTATAAATAATAATACATCTACTAATCAAATCCATAATAATACATCTTCAAATAATGTAAGTGTTTCAAATATTAAAGTACTTTATTTGCTGAATATGAAAATAATATTACAATTAATAAAATATTTCTTCAATTATATATTCTTTAAAACTCGACTTGCATCCTTATTCATTAATTAATCAAAGATTCTTTTTCTCCATATTCATAAGCTAACATCAAAACTGATCTTAGCATTAGCTAAGGAATGTGTAAGACATCTTAGAATTGCTGATATTAATGCTAGTGATATGAAGAAGAAAGGTTGCAAATAGTTCTCAACATGAAAGATACGATTGTATGATAGATGTATCTAAATTATACTTGATTTCTTAGATAGTTATAGGTAAATATTACTTTATTATATTCTTTCAATTTTTTTTTGAATACATATTATTAACTGTAATTATATAATTATATAGTGTATCATTGGATAATCTTTTAAATTCATCTCACCTTCAAAATTTCATAAATACAAATGATATTACCAATATTTTTGAGTCACAATTAAAGCAAGTTAAAAGGGATCATTTGCTTAAAAAAAAATCATCTTGGAATTTTCTAAAGTATATATTGTTGAAGTTACATTAAACATGATCTGTTTCTTTGTATGTAAAAATGTTGACCATGTGATTTACAATAATGTTATGAAGGTCTAATGAGCAGGATGGAAAAATGCAATGCTGGTTGATTTATATCTCTTAATTATATTACAGTTGATATATATATTGTTTCTGAGAGTGAAATGATATTAGCACAAGATATAGATATTTGTAGTTATATAACCTTGTAAATTCAATTTCATAGTATAGTTAGTTTTGCTGTGATATGCTTTAGTAATTATGCAAAATGTAATAATTCAAAAATGTAACCATTGTAAATATTGTTTCAATTTATTATTTTAATTCAATTTTATTATTAATAATGTAATTATTGCAAAATTATTACAATTTATTATTTAAATTATTTTAAATATATAATTTGCAATATTCTTAATATTCATTGTGTCATAGTACTCATAAATGATTATAATATATATAAAAATAAATTCAAGCTTTACAAAATAATATTAATATTACAAAAATATTACAAAGGTATTATAAAAGCATATCAAAAAAAAATGGGTTTTTTAGCTAAATATATTCAAAAAATTAAAATATAAAAAGTATTCTCCTTTTCTATCAATCTGGATTTAAATACAAGTTAAAATACTAAAAAATTAGAAAGTTAGCCTTTCTTCTTATTAATTTAATTTCATGCTTTCTATTTTCTACTTCTTTAGTTAAAATATATTTTTTCTATTGTAAAACATTTAGCTGAACATTTTTTTATTAATGGGTAAAGCTTGTTAACATAGTAAAATGTTTTGTAATCTTAATTTTAATGATCAAATATTCAAATTTGACCTTGTTTTATAATCACAAAAATTTTTTCATATTAAAATATACATTGCAGATTTCAAACAATACACATAGCATTCAGACTAGTAATACATATAAAATACTATGTAATTATTTATACAAATTCTTACAAAAAATGTTAATTATATAGTAAAAGATTACATTGCCATTCTTTTTATCAGGAACTGTAATACTATTTAGTTGAGGCATAGGCATTATCCAATTTAAAGATGCTTTAGTATATATTAATATGGTAGATTGTAACTATATAATAGAACTATTGCATAAATCAGAAATCATAGCTAAAGAAAATTAATTCCAAAAGCTAATATGTGAAAGAAGGTGAGCTTGAATATAAGTTGCTAATAGTCTCTTAACAAGCTATTTCTAATAAAAGTATTTAGAGATTCCTAAAAATATCTTGATTTTAGATTTCTTTTTTTTGTATTTTTATTTGTTTGTTTAGAATTTTAGTTCTATTTAATTTAATATTTATAAAATATGTGTCTGCAAGATTTTTTTCTGCCTTCATTATATTTTGATATTATATTTAATTCAAATATACTATTTTATTATATGTGAAATCTAGAATAAAATATATAGTAAATAAAAATATTTTTATTATAATAATTATAACAATAATTGAAAACTTACTGAAGCATAATACAAATCTATTATTGTTTTAACTTCACCAGTTTCTAAAAATAGCCAATTATAAACCTCTATTTAATACTAATCATACTAATATGCAACAATTAATATTAGTTTAGAATTATGATAATGAATCTATTATCAGAAATTATACATATCCATTTTGATACTTTTTTCATTGATCTAAAAATAACTTCAAAAGATGATATAGTAAACCAGGTATTTTATTTTATGTTTATTGACTAATAATCATATGTATATATATCTAACTTTATTTTATTTTCTTTTTTTATAAATACTAGAATGGTATAAAAGATCTATCCTCTTTTACTGAAAAATTATTTTTAGTTTAACATACTAATTTTGGTAATATTTTCATTTATAATCTGTTACAATGATTATACCATCCTTGTCAAATTATGCTAAAGATGATTTGAATTATATATTTAAAAACTTTTTAGACTTGATAAAACAAATAATATTTAAGTCCTTCTTTTATTTGATCAAGTTGAACTTTTTGTTCAAAAGGAATATATGAACTTAAAAAATCAAAAAACACAAAAAATTCATCACAACTAGTATAGCGTAAGGTATGAAATTATTTGCATTCTCTAAATGCATATAATAATAGTAATTTATACAATTTTTATGTAATATTATACCATTCTGATTGATTACTAATTTACTTTCAAAATTTCTTTTCATGTGAATTCTTAGTTTTTCAATACGATTCATAACACTATCTAATATTTTCTTATTATTAAAGTACTTTATACAATTACTATTAAATTCTGAAAGATTTTAAATTTATATTTATTATATATTGAATATAAACCACCTAAATCTTCTCAATATTATGATTACAATTGGCAAATTGTATCATAAATGAGAAATTTTTTCATTTTATTTAAGTATGTTTCTTCAAATTTAATCTATAATATATTTTTTAATTTTGTAAATATAATATTAATAGAATAGTCTTAGTATTTACTCTATATAAACTCATAGTTAAATTACTTTTATCTTAAAAAAATAGCTCAAATTCTTTCTCTTTAATTTCAAACATATGATAAATTTTTTATTTGGGTTTTATAATGATTAATGCATCTAGACTATTAATTCTAGTATATTTACAAGCTAAATTGATGCTAATTAAGCCTACCTATATGTTAATTTAATAAGTAAATAGTTTATAATAATAAATTTTTATGCTAATATAATTACCTAAAGTTTTTTCAAAAATCTTTATAACGAAATTTTTTAGCAATTATTAACAAAATTCTAATCCTTTTATCTGAACTATATTTATTATTTTTTAGAGCATATCTAAAGCTTTCCTAAAAATTTGCACTTTTGTCTATAATTATTGGAGAATTTTCTAAATTAATTAATCCTGCATTATATAGATTCAACAAAGTTTCTTTATCAACACTTGGATCTGATGCTCTATTCCAAAATTCAATTTCAGATTTTTCCTTATTCTGAATTTGATAATCAGGTGGTAAATATTTTGTAATGCTTTGGGAATTTGAATAATTGTGCTTTTTTAATGTAACCAATCAATAAATAAATTAAACCAATCTAATAATATTTTTATTTCAATTTTTCTAGATTTTATATTTTGATCAAATACTTTCTGTAGAATTTCAGGTTCGTTTTATTCATTTGATTTATATATACGAAGGGTTTTTTGATAAATTTTGTAAAATAGCTTATATTGTTAGATTTGTTACTTCAAATAAATTACTTTCATCAAATTTTTTATTAACATCACATTTTTTTCATATACCAGTTGAAGTTTTATTCTCATATTTAGCTACTATTTCTAACTTATAATAAATTTTAAGTATACACATATTATTTTTAATTTGTTGGAAAGCTTTGAAATTTTAGTAGAAGTGAAAATATGAAACTATTACCTATACTATGACATCTATTATTTATTGAATAACTAATATTTAATACTACTATTATAAATAATTATAATTGAACATATATTAAAAAAAATATTACACTTTGAATTAATTTTATTATAATTTATTTATTATATAATCCTATTGCTATTGATTTAAAGTATTCAGTTCTTTAACCAAAAATTTCTCAAAATAAAGTATTAATTGCTATAGATGTTGATATCAAAATTTTAAAACTCTTTTTTTTACAAATATAAATAAATTCTAGTTGAAATAAACTTATTTCATTTTGAATAACAGAAATTATAAATTTTTTTTCATTAAGTTTACAAAACATATATATATTAAAATGATAGAGAATAATTAATAGAGTAGATTAAGTTTTTTTATTTTTTAGCGTTTTTTGAATCTACTGTTAACGTGCAATTCTTGCGAATTATGACAGTTAGACGGGGTATTCGAGTGGTGATTCTTTTAAAGTTTACGTAGTAATCTAATAGTTGTCTCAGTAAGATAATGGTTCTTTTATATACT